ATATAGCTAGATAGAGAGAAAGAATTTAAACTATTAAAGCTGCACCTCAATGTTTATAAACTCAAAAATGTACCTAGCTCTGCCAGCTAGACTTGGTTAATTTAAGAGTCACCCAGGTGAAAATGGTTATAAAGACATAAAGGGATCACAGGAAACAGCTGAGGTTTACAAATGTATGGCAGGACTAGAGTCCCAAAGAATGGGCAGTTGCAACAATGGACCTTAACGGTTTTAGGAATGCCAGTGCCGGGTGATGGTCAAAGAAGCACCAGCTACAGTGAAATGGAGCAGGCTGAGATCTAAAGAACAGGCTATGTGCATGCTGTCGAGGGTGAGACCAAAGAAGTATGTTATTTTTGATATTGCAGGAAAACATTTAAGAGACTTTAATTGTTTTTTAAAAAAATTAAATAAATGTATAAGGCGGTTGGACATTTGTGCTTATAAAATGTTTTATGTTGGTAATATTTGAACTTAAAATAAAAGGTTAAAAATTAGGGTCAGAGCCATAAGCACCGAAAGTTAACCAGAAATGGAAATGTTCATTTCTTGTGATGCAGAAGACAGTGACCTAAGCAGTTTGATAGAGGGCTTGGAACAGCATCCAGTCCTGTGAATCTCAATCTTTTGGGGGTTGTACAGGGGTAGTCTGGGACCACCTGCATGTCAGATGTTTGGATTGAGATTCACGACATAGGCAAAACTGAAGTTGTAAAATAACAACGGGAAAAAATTTGTAATGGGGGGATCACTATAACATGGAATACTATATTAAAAAGTCAAAGCATTAAAAATAATTAATTAATGGTTTAAAAATTTATTTCCTTGTTCAAGGTCTATTCAGAATTAACAATGCATGTTTAGTCTCCTTGTCTTGCTAACTTTGTTAGGTTTAAGCTATTAGGCTAGACTGAGTCATAAATTTCTGTATTGATACTAAGAGCCTCTCATAAATTTCTGTATTGATACTAAGGACCTCCTCTTCTGGAGAAAGAATGTTGTTTCTATGTCAACCACTCCAGGGTAATTAGAGATTTGATGGCCTTGTTAATGATAGAGAACAGAATGCTCATGCAAAACCTGGATGGGATGAAAACTTGTTCTACCGGTCTCCTTGGTTAACAACCTTGCTTCCAGCTCTAATGGGTCCCTAATGATCTTGCTTCCTATCAACAGACTGTGGCTTTTGTTCGAGAATGGGTCAATACTGTTTGATTGATGGTATTGAGGTCCCAGTATCACCCCCTTGAGCCCCTGGACAGACAGGACCCATGATTGAGTCCTGTCATCGGTACTTGTGAAGGGGGAAAAATGTTGGGCACAGGGCAGCTTTCCCAGGGCAACTTGGTACACACCTGCCAAGATGGGTTCTATAGATCAGCAGGAAGGTAGACCTGAGCCTCAGTTTGCCCTAGGGCAATGCTAGCTCTTAGACTCCCTGCTGTTCCCAGTTCACCCTGGGACCTGTTCCTTGCCTTTGCAGGAGACAGAAGTAACAGCTAGATAGAAACTTGTTCTGTGTTCACCCTCGGAATGATTAATTCAGTTCCTTTATTAGCTTTAATTCTAAATCATTAGAGTGTGGAGTTCTAGTCTTGTGAAAGGTGCTAACTTATTATAGACCATTAGGAAGTACAAGTTAGTCAATCGTCTTTAAGGTACAGATATAATTAATTAAGGAATAAGCTTTATTTAGGTCCCTGTATATGTTTTCAAAATCAAACATAAAACAAGAAAGAAATGAGAAACAAAGTTTGTCTAATCAGACATACCTAGGCAGCTCTCATACTTCAGAGATCTGTAGAAAATGACATTTAAAATAATGATTAAAAAGCTTTATTGTATTAGACAGAGACTCCGATATCCTAGCAGTAACCCAAGGCTCCAAAGAAAATTATGGACACCGGCTGTCCTCCACCTGGATTACAACGACGCTGACCACTGGGCGAGGTGCCCCAGTGCAAGACCTGCTGCCAGGACCAGGTCCAGACTGTGGACAAACAGCAGGACCTTGGAGAATTGATTGTACCAATTTTGTCTAGACAAAACAAGGTCAGTCTTTTCCATATTCCTCTTCCACAGGAAAAAAAAATCCACCTTATGGGTCTGTCTTAGGCAGTAAGACTGCTGTTCCTGATATTTCTGCCTCCAATGCTATGGAGACCTGGGTATGACTAACTGTATATGGACTCTGGTCCCTGTCACTTTTAATAGATTCGGAAACTACTTGCTCTGTTCTCAGATATACTTTATTTATCCTTCTAGGATCTCTGATAGCATTGACGGCTAGAGCAGTTATAATGTCAGTTTAGCAGCAAAAGATATCCGGATTCTTCCACAAAACTATAACTCCTTGTTAGCTCATTCTAAAGCTACTTGGTCTCTTAAAAAATGTTTTAAGGTCTGAGGATATAAAAGTTCATAAGCTTTGAGGGTCTGAAAAAAATGACTTAAGATGTAAATACAGGCTAAGATATGGAAAATGTTTCTGATTTCTTCCCCCCTCTATGGTGTAGTTCTGATAAGCTGATAGAGCAATGACTACTTACTGTTTGGGTCACAAGCTCAAGATTTTAGGTTTATTCTGGTTGCCATTTAAATATGAACTAAACGGTGTTTCTCATTGGGCCAAAGGCATCTTTGTCCAAACCATACATGGATCTCTGGAGAACAAAAAAAATAAACATGCTTTTAACTAAAATCTATAGTTTTTGCTAGGACTCAAAGGTCTGAGTCTATTCCTTCTGTTTACAGATGCCTGTTATCTGCTCTTTATTTACAACATGATTTTTCTTTAAGTATATAAAATTTAACTTCTGTGCCCAGTTTAAACTTATCCCAATAGGCTTCCACGTGGCTGGCAGATGCATCTAAGCATCAGCTGCTGACTGCAACCTGCTCTGAATGGTGGTGAGCCCTGGACTTCCTGAAAGCCGATGTGGACCAGTCCAGCTGATACAAACACACTCTGTCCTTTCAACGAAGTCTGATGAGTGCCCCATTGCCTAATTTCCCTCCCTGCCTTTGGCTAGCCTTTCTACCTGCTTGGGCCCTGATAGCAATGCCCTAATGTCAGCTGGAAGTAGTTGTGGAAAGGAACACATTGTCCCATGTCCCCTGCATAGGATAGGTTGAAAGGCTGAGACAAGGGACATGGGGAACAAGATAAATACCTATAGTGTCTGTTAATATACTAAAAAAAAATAGGCCCAAATTTGTCAGTGAATGGATTTACTAACTTACGTCATTCTTAGGTCCCAATAATACCTCCTTAAAACCATGGGCAGGCAGGACCCAAGATTGAGTCCTGTCATTGGTGTTTGTGAAGGGGGAAATGTAGGAGCCAACCATGATAAGCTAAATAGAAACAGACCACCCGAAGGAAGTTCTTTACTTCCAACCATTATCACCTGCCAGAGTAGGACTCAGCCATCGATAAGTTTAATGGAGGCTGAGTCTCAGCAGTTTACCCTGAAGCAACACCTGGTTGCAGGAAGAACCACAAACTGAGATAGCTGAGCACCACCCAAGAAACACCCAACCGCTGTAGATAGGATCACCTGCCAGCACACTCACCAGGACACCCCTAGACAAATGTCGGTCAATCGGGGATCCTAAATCTTAGAAACCCCTCACCCCCACCTTTACTACTATAAAATTTCAACTCTAACTGAGCTCGGGGCTCTGCGTTTATTCCAATACGTTGGACATGCAGAGAGACCGAGTTTGCAAACTTGCATAAAATAAAGGCTCTTTGCTTTCACATACAGGACTCAGTCTCCTTGTTGGGTTTTTGGGGGACTTCGCGGATCTGACCATAACAGTGCCAATATGGATTTTAGTATAGATTACAAACAATGGTAATACTAACATACCTAAAACTTTTATCTCTTTTACAAACTTAAATCATGTAAGCTTCAGGAACTCAACTTGAACCCATCTGTCACAGGTCAAATGATCAAAAAGTACTCCCATCAACCAACAGCCTTGTTGCGGGAGGTCCTTCCACCCCTCCAACCAATAGCTGCTGTGATACCAGCCCATTGGGGCGTGGTCTCTCTCCCTTTAAAAAAGCGGCTATTTCCTCGGCTCGCTCTCTTCACTTCCTGCTCCGCCGGAGACTAGACTCCCTTCCTGGTTGTGCAGATGGCTGTTGTCTGGGACGGTGATCTGTAAGTTTTCCCCTTTAAATAAATAACACCCTATTAATCATAACTCCAAACTGGTGTGGCCTTGTTCGTGACTTACGCCTTCACAGCTAACTTTCCCCATCTGTATACCCTCTATTCCTGAAGGTGAAATCTCTCCCCCTTTCCCTGGTCTTGAGACTCTCCTCCCCCAACTACCAAGACCATGGGCCCAAAAGTATTTTTTCTTTTCTTTCTTTATTTCTTTTTTTTCAAGATAGGGTTTCTCTGTAGCTTTAGGGCTTGTCCTGGGAACTTGCTCTGTAGACCAGGCTGGCCTCAAACTCCCAGAGATCTGCCTGTCTCTGTCTCATGAGTTCTGGGATTAAAGGTGTGTGCCACCACTGCCTACCTTAACCTAAATGTTTCAAATGTATATCCAAGATAAAATGTTCCCCCATTCTGTCCCAGGAGATTTCCGACCAGCCCCTGATAGCTCTAGCAGCTCAGCAACCCCAAGTGTTCCCTTGGAATCTGAATCCCTAGATAGCTCCCGAGCGGCTATCCCCAGATGGTCCGGCCTTCCAAGCTGCTCCAAAGCTGCCTACTCTCCCCTGGCTCCAGGTAGTCCTGCAGAGCCTGGACAGCACCTGGCACAGCCCACTCTTCCCAACCTTGACTGACCGACATTCTGGTTTCCTTGGGTTCCTAACAAAGATGCCCATACCCCAGTATCAGATGGGGGAGGGCCTTATGCATAAAATAAAATATTTGTTTGTTTTTTGAGACAGGGTTTCTCTGTATAGCCCTGGCTATCCTAGAACTTGCTCTGCAGAGCAGGCTGGCCTTGAACTTACTGAGATCTACTTACCTCTGCTTCTCAAGTGCTGGGAATAAAGGAGTGAGCTCCCACAGTGTGTGCTGGGATGAAACTCAGGGGACAACTTGCAGGGCTTGATTCGCTTTCCACCATGTGGGTTCCCCAGGTTGTCAAGCTTGACGGTGCCACTAAACCATCTCACTGGCCCTGACTTTTTATTTTTGTTTTTTATTATTATTATTATTATTATTTCTGCATTTCCCTGTGACTGGGTCAGCAAGGTGGAATTGCTTCGAGACTGAGAAACGTGGGTTGGTGCTGATTGGCACTGCTGATCTGTCCTGGGAGCAGACCCATAAGGGCTTGAGCTACATCTTAAGAGATAGAGCTTAAAATGGTTCAGTGGTTAAGCGCACTGGCTGCTCTTCCAGGGGTCCTGGGTTCAATTCCCAGCACCCACATGGAGGCTCACGACCATCTGTAATGCGACCTGATGCCCTCTCCTGGAGTGTGGCACACAGGCAAGTAGAGCACTCATACACATAAAATACATAATAAATAAATAAATCTCCTTTGACAAAGCCTTAAGGTTAACGTGGGCGGGGAGTGGGAGTCACATGACGAGACGTGGGCACCCTTTGGCTGGAGTTTAACAAGTGTGTTGGTGGCAATGGCAGCATCCTCTGAGCTGATACCATCTTCCACCTGTGAGCTAGCGTCGGGATCTGGCAGTGGTAGCAGGATTTATAGGGTGTGTGAGGAGCAAGCCTCCTGGTTGTTGACTTTGTCACCTGAGACGTAGTGGAAGGCCCTCCAAGGTAGCTACTTCATGGAATGACTGTCTTTGCTGACTTGAAGAGCATTGGCCCCCAACTAAACCAGGTCATGATGAGAACCCCAGCTGGAGGTTGGTAGAATGTTGTTTTGTAACATCATTGCTTTGCTTACTTTTCCCTTGGGTGTTTAAGACCTTGTAAGTGACCAAAAATTAAACACATCTTTTATTCTTGTGAAAATCAGTTGAGGTCCTCAGGGGTTACTTTTAGGAACCTGGAAGAAGCAAGCTGGCTACTTTAGTTTGTGTGTGTGTGTGTGTGTGTGTTTTAACCAGTAGTGAGTGGGATCTGCTGGAATAAGTCAGGGACTTGCTGAACATGTGGCGTCCTTTGCAGGCAGCAAGGACATTCCCTCTGTCTCTGTAGAGACCCTCCCTTCTGCAGAACATACGCTGGTGGAGTCCAACCTCTGGTGGGCTTATGGCTCCTCATGGCTCCTCTGATCAAGTTGACAGGTAAGGGTTAAGGATACAGCTCAGTTGGTTGGGTGCTTGCCTAGTGTACTGGCTAGTTTTATGTCAACTTGACACAAGCTAGAGTCATCAGAAAGGAAGGAGCCTCAGTTGAGAAACTGCCTCCATGAGATCTGGCTATAAGAAGAGGTGGTGGTGCACGCCTTTAATCCCAGCACTCGGGAGGCAGAGGCAGGCAGATCTCTGAGTTAGAGGCCAGCCTGGTCTACAGAGTGAGTTAGTTCCAGGACAGGCTACACAGAGAAAAACTGCCTCAAAAACAAAACAAAACAAGACCAAAAAAGATCCGACTACGTGGTATTTTCTTAATCAGTGATTGATGTTGGACTGCCAACCCACTGTGGGTGCTTCCATCCCTGGCTGGTGGTTCTGGGTTCTAGAGAAAGCAGGTTGAGCAAGCCATGATAAGGAGGCCAGCAAGCAGCACCCGTCCATGACCTCTGCATCAGCTCCTGCCTCCAGGTTCCTGCCCTGACTTCTTTAGTGATGGACCAAGATATGGAAGTGTAAGCCAAATGAACCCTTTCCTCCCCATCTTGCTTTTTGGTCGTGGTGTTTCATCACAGCAATAGAAACCCAAACCAACTAAGACACTAGCTACATGAAGCCCGGGGTGCCATCTCCGGCACCATATAAAACCACATATGGTGGCACACACCTGTAATCTCAGCACTCAAAGGGGAGGTGGAGGCAGGGGGATTATAACATCAAAGTCATCCTCAGCTACAAAGTAAATTCCTGGACAGCCTAGGCCGCCTGAGACCCTGTTTCAAAAAAGATGACAGGTGCCTTTGAGCTGCATGGCCTTTCTAGAGTTACTCAGCATGCCCTGGTCCTCTAGGACCTAGGAGACCTGGGGCCAGCACCCAGAGTACTGGCTGGACTGAGTGAGTGGATGGGCAGGAAGGGGTTTAAAGCAGCAGCAGTAATGAAGCACAGCCCCCAAGCACAGCCAGATTAAAATTACCAGCTTGTGGCGGTTTGAGCAAGAATGGCCGCTGAGGGTCATGTATTTGTATGGTTAGTCACCAGCGAGTAGCGCTATTTGAAAGGGACTAACAGGCGTGGCTTTGCTGGAGGGTGGATTTGAAGGTTACAAAAGCCCGTGCCAAGCCTGTGCATCACGTAGCTCCCTCTCCAGCACCAGGTTTGTCTGCCTCCAGGCTCCCCATCATGATGACGATGGACTAGACTTCTAAAACTGGAAGCCAGCCCCTAATTAAATGCTTGCTTTGTGTTTTGTTTTGGTTTCTTGTCTTTTGGCGTTTTGAGACAGGGTTTCTGTGTAGCCCTGGCTGTCCTGGAACTCACTCTGTAGACCAGGCTGCCCTTAAACTCACAGAGATTCTCCCCTGCTCTGCCTCCTGGGTGCTGGGATTAAAGCCGTGCACCACCACACGGGACAAAAGCTCTCTTTTGAAAGAGCTGCCTTGGTCATGATGTCTCTTCACGGCGACAGGACAGTGATTGAGACCACACAGCTGCAGCCCTAATCTCTCCCTCGTAACCAGCGCTGCCACCCCTGTAGGCAGAAAACACGGAACTCACCATCTATATACTGCATCAGGAAGTAATCTTAACTTTGACTTCCCTTTCTCTAGACTGCTCCATCTGATTGCAGAACTTTCTGAGGCTCACGCCTTTAATCCCAGCACTTGGGAGACAGAGGCAGGCGGATCTCTGTGAGTTCGAGACCAGCCTGGTCTACAGAGCTAGTTCCAGGACAGGCTCCAAAGCCACAGAGAAACCCTGTCTCGAAAAAAAAAAAAAAAAAAAGAACTTTCTGAGGCACCATTCTCTATCCTTACCCAGGCTCAGGCTCTCCACATTCCCAGACGTGAGCAAGGAAAGACGACAGAGGATGCAAGAGACATGGGTGATCTGCTTGCCTGAACTATGGCTGCAGAGTGAAACCATCCTTAGCTGGAGTGCTCTCTACCCACCAAAACTCCAGCAAAGGAGAAGGCTCCTGCTGAACAGACAGGCTGAGCTCTGAAGGTGCATTTCTATGGCTTCTCCTCCTTATCGTCCACATCTTGAGACCTCTGAAGACACCATCAGGCACACAAAACATCTTCCAGGAAGGTTTTGTCACAGCTGTGGCTTCAGAGCCACAGGTTTAACTGCCATGCCTTATCAGCACAAACAGGGTGGGGCACCATCTGTTTTCCGTCTCGCGCCTCAAGCGCCACCTGATGGTTGCATACTGTAAGAGGCGGTGTCTCAATGGACAAGGCTTGCGGGTGCACAGGGAAATTTTATTATTGCTTCCAGCGGGAAGCACAGGATCAGATGTAGTATTCAATCTCAGCACTCTTTGGAAGACAGAAGGAGAGACAGGATTTGAGGAAGCTTTCTTCTTGTCTTCAGAATCTACTGTCAGTGGTCAGTCGGATAATGCTCCCATCCTTGGTTGCTATCAGACCTCATTATAGTCTGGAGTCAGGACCGTCTAATTGAATGCTGACCCCATTCCTTAGTAATCTCAGAAGCCTAGCAGAATATACATGTATGTTTGCCTTTCAATTTCTTAAAATTTTTATTATATCTAATAAAATTTTATATTCTTACAATTATATTTATAACTATATTTTTTCCATGATATTTATTGAGCTCTACATTTTTCTCTACTCCCCTCCCTGCCTCTCCCCTTCCACTTCAATCCTCCCCCAAGGTCCTCATGCTCCCAATTTACCCAGGAGATCTTGTCTTTTTCTACTTTCTACTTCCCATGTAGATTAGACCTATGTAAGTCTCTCTTAGTATCCACATTATTCTCTAAATTCTCTGGGATTGTGGTTTTTAGGCTGGCTTTCTTTGCTTTATGTTTAAAAACCATATGTGAGTGAGTACATGTGATGATTGTCTTTCTGTGTCTGGGTTACCTCACTCAAAATAGTGTTTTCTAATTCCATCCATTTTCCTGCAAAATTCAAGCTGTCATTATTTTTTTCCTGCTGTGTAGTACTCCATTGTGTAAGTGTGCCACTTTTTTTTTTTTTAAAATACATTCTTTGGCCGGGCGGTGGTGGTGCACGCCTTTAATCCCAGCTCTTGGGAGACAGAGGCAGGCGGATCTCTGTAAGTTCGAGACCAGCCTGGTCTACAAGAGCTAGTTCCAGGACAGGCTC